CTGAGTGGATGCATGTTTTATTGTATCAAATTACAGTAAAGCATTTGTTACATTAAAAGTTCAAACTTCCTCATATTAAGTTAAACTTATCTATAACAGACTGTTATTATAGATAAGTTTAACTTGATTAGGTTTTAACTTTAAATAGAACACGTTAGTAATATCAGTAAAATTCAAATTTTTAAAAGATGGATTTTTTGCAGTAATTATGCTTTACGCTTTTCAAGTCCTAAGCTTGGTCATCAAGAATCAGCAATCGCCAAAATATCAATCTCCAATCTGAAAGCTTACAGAAACAAATGGCAACAATTAAAAATTTATGATATTAAATATAATATTGCATAGTCTTTTAACTTTTTGAGGTAACATAAAAAAAAGATAGCTTCATTTATATTCCCATTACTTTTTGCATTACATTTTCAATTTCTTTTAATTTCTTTTACTCTCTTTCTAGCATGTATATAGAGGATATTCAAAGTTTTGTAGCTGAATATGGAATTTATTTCACGAGTGGGACAGGATTTTTAAAAATATTTTCACGCGTGTGAAGCACGAGTGAAAATATGAAAAAAAATCCTGTTTCACGAGTGAAATAAATTCCATATTCATCTACAAAACATTGAATTTTCTGTTTATTACATTTTCTTAGATTTTCCCTTTGCCTAGAACTGTCTTTTCGTTGCACAGTGTCATAGGCTGTGACGTCATGGTTTGAGACACAAACCTCGCGAGATTGAAAAACGTTGTAAACATGGATTTTTAACGACATATTTGGAAATACTTTGGCAGTATAACTATTAGTCTTTGTCGGAATGGCTCATTAACTCTATCTTATAACAGGCCTGGATTTTTTTTTTAAAAACACTCTTTGTGAAGGGAAGGAAAATAGTAAGTTTTGCTGCACTTCTGATATTCTCACACTGTGAGAATACCATTTTGATATCCTTTCACACTGTGCCAGAATATCACTTTTATTCAGTAAATAAATTACAGTATTTCATGTTGAAATGTAATAAACAGTGTTCTTTAAAAATATATCAATTGACGATAAATGAACTGATAGTCTGGGGGAAAACGGAGATGGTCCTCCAGTTTGTCTCGCTCTCTGCAAAAATATTTCTTTCTCAAATTGGTTCAAATTTCAAAACTTGATTAACATTCATTAGATTTAGTTTTGAAGGGGTGGAGTGCATGTTTATGAATTTCAAAATAGTTGCACAAGTTTTGCATTTCTGTTTTTGAAAAACCCAAAAGTAATGGTAATGGTAATGCATTACTTTACTTAAGTAATGGTAATTACTTAATGATAATGCATTACTTTAAGAAATTAGAATAATGGTAATGATAATTTAATGGCCAAACTGGTAATGTAATGCATTACTTTACAATGTAATTCGCCCCAAGCCTAGCCCCAGGATCATGAAACAGACTTAGACTTAAGTCAAATTTTCAATCGCCTGTAAAATGTTTATTAATTATTGAATTATTCTCTAGATTTGCAGATAACAACACTTTTGTAAAACAATATTTAAAAATATTTAAATTTGGTCTACTTGACTTCTACATCATCTTAGTAAAGCATAAAGATTTTGACTTAAGCTTAAGGAGGTTCGATCCTGAGCTTTTGCGCAGATTTTGGTCTGGACCTTTATTTGTAAAATTCTGCATCATTTTTAAGTTCAAACATTAAATCTGGATTCTACAATGTAAATTAAACTATATCCAATGAAAAAACCGCAATTAAATTCCATTCAGATAGGATTTAGCCAGGAACTATATTTTGATGGCGGAAGGTCTTTTAGGAGAAATTGATCAATTTTTCCCTTTTGAAATATAAACAGTACTGTTAAGTTTAGATTCCTATTTTTCCATGCTGGTTGCACACAGAGCTGTTTTTTGCAGTGAAATGTTTTATGCTGGTTCTAAAATATCTATTAAATTATTTCTTATGAATTCTTTCATTATATTGTGACAAATATAGTTAATATATTCTGAAAGTCCAGGAAAAGATTTAGCCAATTTTAACATAAAATTAATACTTTTTTAGCAATATCTAAAAATTTACATCATAGACCCCCACTTTTGCTTTTCTTTTCTGAATATATAAGATAACTTTGATCAATCTGCCTAAATTCAGCAAAAGTTTAAGACTTTAAAATAATTTTCCTGCTTGTTAAATTTCTAATGTCAGAAAAATCACATTTTTGAGTGCAAAAAGGTCAAATAATTGATTATGCAATGCAATTTGAAACTTTTTCTTAATCACAATTTTAAAGTGTATTTTATTTTAAATATACGAATAATTTATTTTGTCCCATGATTTATTTGGATAAAATCATTGGAAGGAAAACGTCAAAGATGTAATTTTTGATTAAGACACAAATTTCAGTGCAAAAGGTCATATTAAATGTTCTGTAGCGCCAAAAGAAGCATATTGACCCCCAGTTTTGGTTTTGATTTTTAACTAAGCTATGTATGTAGAAACTAAAAATATACTTGACAAAAAAAGTTTAAGACTTTAAATATCAGGATCCAACCTCGTTAAGATGCTTCATGAACCCGGGGCCTGGTGTTAAGTAATTGTAAACCTATATTATGAAAAAAAGTAATGAATGCTTGCAGTTATGTCCTGTTCAATTTTTAAACGAGAAACCCTATTTGATTTATGTAAGTTAACTTGGTCTCATATAGCTAAACATAAAATTTCTTGTCCTCTCTTCATTTAGTTCATTGTTAACTGTCAGACTGAGAACAATAATGGTCATTGGAATTTAACAAAACCAGGAAGTCTGTGTTTGTTTTTGATCCTTATTAAATTGCAGTATGATGGAATGAAGGAAAAATTAAAAAAAAAACGTTTATTTTTGTAGCAATTCACCGATAAGGTAGATTTTGCCCAAATGAAAGATGAAAATACAGAAACATTGCTTTAACATAATCGGTATCGTCATTCCTAAAGACATTACTCATATAAGATGGACTGCACAGACCTATAATAACAGTTTGCAAGAGTTTAACTGCCACAGTGGAGTTAAATTTAACTAGTATCGTATTCCTAGCTTTCTCAAGGCATAAAGTGGGACGTCGGCCATTTTCTTCATTCTATCGAAACTTCCTCAGAGTCTGAATTTGCACTAGGTGACAAAAGTCAAGTATGTTAAGGTCATTGTATAACCGTGTAGCAAACTGTGGGTCAATTTCTGTGTAAATGCTTTGATAACAACTCTTTATCACCCAACAATCGCAGAATCTATACTACTTCGGAACAAGGTAGGCAATCAGGACCCGGTATCCTAGAGATTTCAGAATCTGTCTTGGTGTCTTAGTAAATAATTGATGTAGAAAGAACATTTTCTGAACACTAAAAATCCGAAGCTTGCGCTGGAATTAGGACAACTATGATTACAATGACTTCAGTCTGTTTATTTATTAGAACGCCAAATTTATATAAACTCAAATTATTGAATATATCTCTAATTATTTATACAATTCGACAATGCATTCAACTCACTGGATTTAACATTTCAATTTAAGATCATTTCTTAAAATAATTAATGATATCGTCCATTCTGAATTATTGCACGCATTAATTTGCTGAAGTATGTGTGCAATAATTGAATTGTTGGTATCTTCAAATTAATTGACGATATCATTAATTGGATTCATACTCGCAACAATTCAATTGAAGAAAACAATGATTTAATGAATGTGCGGAACAATTGAATTATTGCTCACTTCAATTGAATAATTGATTATCATTCTTTTAGAGAGAACAACTATTTTATAAATCAGTGATGTCTCCAATCCAACATGTTCATAATTCAAATGATGATGTCTTTAATTTGATTGAATTATTGTTCTCTATAAAAGAATTGATGCCAGCATTAATATTCTTAATAAACTATTTTAAAATGATCTAAATTAAATTGAATTAAAATTAAATTGAGCGGTTCAATATATATATATATATATATATATATATATATATATATATATATATATATATATATATATATATATAGGCACCCAGGACAGAATTTAAAAGTTCCAGACCTTATCTATTTGGTTACACCCCTATCTGTACAAAAAGCAAGTACCGGGGTCAGCAAAAGGTGGTTTAGAATTATCATTTTGTATATGTACTGTAAAACTTCTTTTTAAAATAATTAACTAGCAGTTTACACAATACATTTTACCTCATTTCGGTATTGAATAGCCATCTGAATATACATATATTAGCTATCTTCAATTGGTGTGAAAAAGCAGCTGAACAAACAATTCTATTTTGTTTGGGTATGCATGCACTTTACGATTCACGAGGAAGAGATAAGCAAGATATAACGGTATTTTCCCGTTCCAAGATGCCATTTCACAAACTGTTCTGATAAGATAAAATTTAGATGTCGTGTTACATGTATACGAGTCTTTTTTCCCGTTTTACGTTAACATAATTAAGATTTTTGATAAAGGAATTTCCCTTGAAATTATTTTCAATTTTGTTGGACGCCTACATCATTCTTCTGCCATCAAACATAAGTTGCATGTTAGCATAAATAAACTTCTTAATTATTTACATTTACACAGTAGTCTTGCAACGGTTTATTTGTTGTCCTCCAACTTTTGAAAATACGTTGATAATGCTATGGCAGTCTTTCATAAACTGTCTGTTTGCCCCCGACCGACCGACCTACTGATTAAAAATGGTCCGACTGAAAACTTTTTAAATCTCTAGGAATTTTTTAAAATTCATCCCCGGATTTATAAAGTAGTTTAATTTTTTACTCTCAAGTATTTGATCTCTAGGAGGCTTATCTATACAAACCCATAATAATAAATAATTCAATGTTGAATGTGACACAGTTAAAACCTTCAATTTCAATAGATTTTTAAAATTTTTTTTAAAATTAAGCATTTATGTTGAAGAAAAATAAAGAATTTCTCTTTCACACCTACCCAATTTTTTTTTAAAGACAATTCGTTTTTATTTTATTAACAGGTCATTTAATAATGAAAAAATAATATTGACACAGTAAAATTCATTTTCAAAAAACTGAAAAGAAATTATCTAATTATCATCACCAACAAAAATCAACCACTGTCTCCCTCATTATTTAATGTCCACAAACAATTAGGTGAAGATGAATACAGTTTATCTCAAGTCTCGGTAATTCTCGACTTAATCAGTGATCGGCTGAAAACTTCGGCAAGCAGTGTACAAACGTTCCTTAGGTTTGGAAAGTTGATCTTGGACTGTTTATTGCAATGTCCGGCTGTGATATATCTTTGGGACGATTAATACGGCTTAGAATTGGTTACTTCGCAAAAATAAGAAAACTTTTCCTGAAAATTTTTCATAACTTTCTCCCGTTAATATGTTCTTGGCAGATGTAAATGACAAATTTCCTAGGACGAATTGAAAGGAAAATTATGCTCTCAAACTCTTCGACGGGGATATGTCCCTACACCCATGTACCCAAATCCCTATCAGCATCACCTTCTTGATTATGTCGACCCGGCCACAAACTAACAAGTTTGTTTTTAATAAGCTCAAAGGCAGACATGGCCATTACCCCAACGCAACGAGGAATCCTTAAGATAATATCTAGAATTCCTCTACCGACAATTGTGGCTGGTTGATTTTTGGGTTGTACTTTTGGTTCTTCTAGACTAGCACTTTCATAGTTGGTGTGTTGTGCTATTAGATTCAACAGCGTCTTCAGCTGCCTTGCATCATCGTCTGTCCAAATACTATCCTCTGGAGAAATACAAACACAATGTACATTTATTATACTTTATGATTCTAAATTTGCAACCAACATTGGTCTTCTATTATTTATTTATTATTATTTGTGAAATTAATACCCTTTGGTCTTGTGAATGGAACAACATCAAACGCCATTTCCGTGTTCCATGGTGCAAGGAATTTTCCGTTATGTTCACCAAGGATGGCAATCCTGTTGTGGGTTTCCTCCCACCGGTAGGGAGTAAGGTTTGGCCGCTGGAGAACCACCCATTTCCAAACGAATGTAGAATTTGCTGGTAGGTGGATCCCAGCGACCCATTTGCCAGATTCCTTCAAATGCTGATCTAAAGCAAATACATTAACAAAAACGCATTATTAATTTTGTAATCAATAATAGTTGTTGATAAACCCTTTTCTCTCTATGTCATAGAACCTTAAGGATTAGGGTAAGGGGAATGTTTCAATAAGCAAAATGTATAAAAATTCCTCACCGCAAGTTATTTTTCTTAGAATTTTCGGTTAAAATCCACTTGCATTCCAATCAAAATAGCCATATTACATTACTATATCAGTAAAGAATATTTTGCATTCAGCATATGTATTTTTTTTTTAAATTTTGAATTAACTTAGTCATGTTAGTAGGTTTAAGAAATTGACAACATAATGTAAGCGTTCTTGTAATACACTTTGACAATTCTTTGCTTGGAGGAAAATTTACTACCCGGTATACTGTATGTAGTAAAGTATAGGGGAGGAAGATTTACAAAATAGCAATTATTCCCAGAGGGAAACTTTACAAGATAGTAAACATTCCGGGTGAAGGTTTGCTATGAGAAAGGTTTACTATACGACATCAGATTTCGGTGTGCATGTTTAAAGTGTTATGCTGATTTAAAAAAAAAACTTACCTGCTATGAGTGCAGCGCTAGCATTCCAGCTCCCAAGTTCTGGAATTGATCCACAAACTGCCAAAACAAAGCCATCATTTGGTACAACGTATTCACATTCAAATTGGATCCAGAGTGTGGTAGGATGTCTTGAAACATTGTAGCTATCCATTTTTAATGCACGTAAAACTATTCAGTGAGTGTTATTATGACGTAACGTGATTGTACACTGTGACGTTTCTTGACACTATGACGTCGTCAAGTTTGTAATCCCCTCGAGAATAACCCGATTCATTATACATATCTTAATTGTTACTTACAGATTAAAAAAAAAATACTGAATATTCAGCTATATAAACTCATACATAGTAAATATGTTTGAAAAAAAGACATCGAAAAATGCATATCCAAATGTTTTGCTAACAGATTTATAAGTATCAGTATGCTTTGTAAATACTTTCTACCATCCGCACGGCATAATAGTCTGCCATGGAAGGTAGTTTCATAATTCTTTGATATAGAGATATCGTATTCTTTGTGAAGAAATCTGCTTCTTGCAGTGTCTCCTAAATTGTACACACCATGAAAAAAAAGTTTATCAAGTGTAAATCAATGGTCTGGACAAATTATTGATTATTTATTGTCTCTAACTCTGTTTTAAACATCATATCAACACATCATTTAATGATTGTACGCTGATTTCCGTTGGGTTGTTTGGGCATTTTCAAAGATATTTCTTGATTTTTTTCTTTATTCGTCCAATAAACGATACTTATGATATCAGAAAATGGCAACAATCCTTTAATACTGTTTTAATTACATATAATTCACAGATAAATTTCATTTAGTTTCTCTCTTAGGAAAAAAAAAAATTTCATCCAAAATCTTTAGTAGTTCGTAACATTTGACCTCGGGTCGTGCATACTATCTGCAGCATTTAAAGACGGCGATTTTTACAAAAATAAAATTAAAAAAAATCAGATCCAAACTATTCTAAGGGTTTTTTTTTTAAATAAAGAATATTTTGGTATACACAATCTTTATCTCGGACCATTTCATATGACAGAAAAGACATTGTAAACAAACTTTTTGTACAGCCCTAGTACAAAGTGCAAATTAAGGTTTAACGACACAGTCCTCAAAAGGTATCCGGGTTTTTTTGTATCTTTTCCTAATACACCAAAACTGTTTATAATTATTTATATCTTGCGATTTGTAAACTTTTTAGAATGTTTATAAATAAACAAAAAATTGTGATGTCAGCAATTCAAGTGATTTATAATAGGATTAAATAGGAAGTATTTTCCTCTGGAATCTTACACAAATGCCTAGTGATGTACCTTAAAGCGACATACGGCTACACAATGTGTGTTTTTCAAATTTACCCAATATATCATTAAGAAATGAGGTATAAAGTCGATATCAACAGTTTGAGAAACATGAATATTCTCTCTTCAAACAAAATTAAACATAATTAGAATCTGCTGGAAATCCAAGGGTGGTACAAACCGGAGCAATCTTAGATCTGTTTATTTGTACCACGTTAATTCTGAATGACACGTGCCTAAACTGTAAAGTTTACAATTATAATGGAATATAAAGTAAAAGCAATTCTCAAAAGCAAAATATTATAACTTTTCCGATAAATTATTAATCGGGAACTTTTTAATCTGCTATCAGACGAATTTTAAAGGATTAAAAGTACAAATATTGACGTTTTTTGTATTGGGGTCCGAGAAGGGAAAATCACCAAATCATGCGTTATCGCGGCAAACGTCAAAAATATTTTCAAGACAGTTACATTAAATTTGCACTTTTTAAAATGGCAATAATATTTATATGTCATAGGTGTTGAGTTTACACTGCTTTTTTCTTTGAAAGCGATGGAGATATGAGAAATGATACCATGTATCAACAAACCTGTCGAGGAGAACCTTTGCGAGCCCTGTGTGAGTCTCGCCGAGCTCCCGTTTCTTCCTCCACTAACGATTATATTAATCCTTTAATATTAAACTTTGGTCAGGAAATTCGCTTTTTCAAGCTCTATTTTCAGTTTGTTTTCTTCTTGGTCTACTTTGTCAAGGTAGCAGGCCTACCCTGCTACCCTCTTTTACCATGCTGTTTTGTTATGATAAGTACGCATGCGTGAATGGCATGGAATGTGGAACCCCTAACACGTTGTGATGTATATATTTATGGTCCATAAATAATTATTAATTTTAATGAAATAATCAAAGTTATTTAGTTATGAGACTTGTAATTTTCTGAAAGTTTATACATTTATAAGTAGTAAAAAAATGCCAAATCCTATCGAAAAATTTTATGAAGTCTGTTTTTTACGGAAGCGTAATAGGGCCGCAGCAGTATCTTTTATTAATTTGTTTTAACAAATTACTAATTTGTTATAACAAATTATCAATTTGTTATAATAAATTATCAATTTGTTAAAACAAATTACTAATTTGATATAACAGATTATTTATTTGTTATAACAAATTACTAATTTGTTATAACAAATTATCAATTTGTTATAACAAATTATCAATTTGTTATAACAAATTATTAATCTGTTATAACAAATTACTAATTTGTTATAACAAATTATCAATTTGTTATAACAAATTATCAATTTGTTAAAACAGATTACTAATTTGTTATAACAGATTACTAATTTGTTATAACAACTTACTAATTTGTTATAACAAATTATCAATTTGTTATAACAAATTATCAATTTGTTATAACAAATTATTAATTTGTTATAACAGATTACTAATTTGTTATAACAGATTACTAATTTGTTATAACAAATTACTAATTTGATATAACAAATTATCAATTTGATATAACAAATTAGTAATTTGCTATAACATATTAGTAATTTGATTTAAAAAATTATTATTATTATTTTTTTTTTTTTTACAAAATATGAAGGTGAATACAGATCTATGGAAGCCAGATCAGATCAGATCAGAAATCTTATTTTAAATCGGGTTTATGAACACGTTAAGCATAAGCTTTGGAGAGCTTTTGATCAATATGTTAATGTGGATTTAGATGAATTAGCAACTTAGATTAAAGCACTTTAATTTTTGTTTAATTGCAGTTTTTTTTTTTAAAGTTTTGTTTTGTTGTTGTTTTTTGTTTTTTTTTGAGTCAGTTCCTTGGAATAGATTTCTCTGTTAGACAATTAAAAGAATAGCTGCATCCCAGGGATTATGTAGAAGAAATACAGAATGTTGGATCCTTCGAGAAAAATTCGAAGTTCCGGACAATTAAATATGACTTCAACGTCGTCCATTCAAATCAACACTTTTTTCAATGTCAACACAGGGGTCAAAAGGGGAGAAGACCTATTTTTTCCTTCTTTACACATGTGTAATATTTTGTGTGTATTGTTATAACAAATTATATTGCTTAACGATTTCTTGTAAAATATATGAGTAGTCCTATATGAGACAACCAGGATACAAATTACAAATGAATTTGAAGAAACAACTGTCAAAGTTTTCAGCCAATAATAAGTTATGAAGGCTTTAGTGGGACTTCGAGGGCTTTTCCAAAAGGCACGTATTTTGATTATAAAAATTACATACATACATGAAAAAATTTCACAAGGTATCTAAATTCAAATTTTACGAAATACTACCCACTCAAGAATATTGTTTATTTTCGTTTTCAGAAAAGGTTATTACAGAGTGTTTATCAATTTTTCTATGATAATTTATCTACAAATTCATTTTTTATCAATGTTGCCTTTATTGCCCCCAGCATAAATTGGGGCCAAGGAGGTTCACCAGGGGAGCAGATTCAGGTTTATGCATTAGGAACGGCGGTTTAGTTTAAAATACATTTTATTCATGATACATAAACTGGATTGAACAGTAGGCATAAATCATTTGGTACATGTATAGAATGAATCGAGAGAGAGAGGGAAGGGGGGGGGTAAAATGAAATAAAATAAAAGACATATTGAAAAAAACATATTATAATGAACATGTTGATTCAGGGTGGGAAAAATTCCCTCTCCAAATAACATGTCTTTGATAAGATATTTTTCCCAGCATACGAACGGGGATGCAATGACCTGGTAAATGGGAGTCAAGGACGGAGCCCTGGTGGGGGAGGAGGACAAAATTCAAATAGAGCTCCTAAGAATAAGTAAATAGGAACCAAAGAATTTGATGCATTGTATCTTTATAACAATAATGTTTGACAGTGAAAACTCTAAATGCTAAAAGATGTAAATCCAGATTAACATATTGGTCAAAAGCTGTAGCTGCAGAGCTTGTACATTTATTATTTTCACAAATCCAACTTATAAAAAAATTTCTGATCTCATTTGGCTTCCATAGATCTGTATACACTTTCACTTTATCAAAATTATTAATTTGTTATAACAAATTACCAATTTGTTATAACAAATTAATAATTTGTTATAACAAA